ATGTAAAAATAAAGAGAGACAAAATAACAGTTACTTAATATAATAACAAATACTTTGTGTTTAAATAAGATAAAATTATCTTTTCAATTAAATAAAAAAAGATTATACCTAAAGATTATACATAATAAGTAGCGTTTAAGTAAAGATTATAATTATAAAAAGTTGAAATAGATAAGTTAAAACGCAGATAAATTAAATTTAAAATTGACATTTCTTTGTAAAAATATTTTATGTTTAAAAAAGACTAAATTTTTTTTATTAAAAATTATAACTAATAAAAAAATTAAAACTAACATTAACTTATGACACACACGCGCATATCAAATTATGTATATGTAATTTTATAATCAACAGAAAAATTATTTTCTACAATTTCTAACATTAACCTAATAAAAAAATACTGAAAAATATTGAAAAATCTACATGCAAGAAAAGCTCAATACTTTTCTATTCGCAGAGGATATTTTATGAACTATAAAGCTTTCATAGTATGTCACGATCAATCTTAACTATAATTTAACTTATATCAAAATTTTGCATATTGATGCATTCAAGTTATACAACTTTCTCAAACTCAAATCTGCATCAGCATTTTTCGCCTACGAAGTAATTATTAAAGATCAAGAGGATCTTGAGTAAATTCTTCACAAGTAGAGTTACCAGGTATTCCTAAAATAGATTGAATAATTAATTTTATTAGAATTCCGTATACACACGGAAACTTTTATAATATTTCTATATTAAGATATATCGCAGCTTCATCACGAAAAGTGTTTGTAACGAAAAACTTAAAGTACTTAGTAAAGAGAAGAAATGTTACGAAACAATCCGATTTTCTTCTAGTAATAAAAGAAACGAACTCTTTTTTTGCGCAGTTTCCTGACACAGAATGAATATCTTCAAACGTATTAACGTAATTTATGTGATAACAAAAATGTAAAATTTGCCACCACTTTGTCGTATGTACGACAACACTTGCAATATTATACCTTCCTAAAGGGATCACTGGTGGAAAAAAGGAGTCAACAGCCGAATGATTGATAATATAATTTCCCAATAACTGCCACCTACATTTGGTCATCCGGGATCTGTAACTTCCCCGATCCCGATCGACTATTTCGAGGAGGACTTCTAGGGTGGCACAATGTGCGTCACTGCGACGTGACACCCATTGTTGACACGACACACATACATTGTCCCGCTATAATGGCGTCAGATGCGAAGCACAAAGCCCTATTTTATGAGAGAGATTCGTATTTCGATGCGAGCCCAATGAGAGAAATTGTCGATGCGAGAAACTTTTCTGATTCATTTGCCGCCCGGTCGTAATTACTCGATCGACATTGCGCGATGCCCTTTCCTTCCACGATAAAGAATGGCTAAATCTATTTAGCTTAACGCGCGAAATGAATCAATCTGCTTTTTCCTTTTTTTTTTTTTTTTTTCTTACTTAGATGTGCGTTGATATCATAATCTAAATCAATTTTTACAATTTTTTCAGCATCTATCAAACAGCGTTTTTTTTTTAACAAAACATTAGACGAAGTATATTTTATCCTATCAAATTGTATTATTTCTTTCGGCAGCAAAAAATTATAAGTAATTAAAAGCTGTGTTTAATAATAAAAGTAATAATTTAGAATCTTGTTATGAATAAAAGAAAATTTAAAACCATAGAACCGCTTATACGTACTTTAATAGAAATTGAGAGGACATAAACATTAATGTTCTATGTCCTATAATATTATAATACAATGCAATGCAAATTTTAATGATATATTTTGTAAAATTACATACTCTTATGTTATTTTAAATAATTTTGCTTATTACTTATATGAAACGTCACACATACATATACCGTCGCGTAATCGCAATTTCACATTGGTTTCATTATAAGTTTTTATCGTAAATTGATAACAGATCTCTTTTTATTGTTGACAATGAATGATATCGTGGTTATGTTCTAAAATTATTCTCGACCGGACGTAGCCTTCGTCGAAATGTGAAATAATTGGCGATATAATCTCGCGATTCACATCGCTCTAATTTTCCTGCTGACAGCGTACGCTTCCAATTCAATATTAATAGATCCGGCATTGTCACATATATCTCGTTTCATTCTTTGAAATAACTAACGTAGTACAATTCATTTGTGCTGTGTCATATCAAACAAAGTAGGCGTTTCGTTTCCCTGAAGATCGTAATCATTCTGCGAGATTGGTTGATATCAAAAAGACGACTCCTGGAAAGTTTCCTGGCCAGCTCCTTCCTTCCATAAATTATTTTTTTATTATTTTGATATATGACCAACACCGATTATTTATATTTATCATTAATTATTGAAATTAATATGTCACCGTTAATTAACTAGAATTAATACTTTAATTTGACAAAGAAATTATGTCATCATATTTGTGTTGTAAAATGTGTTCACCTTTGTAATGTTAAATATAATAAATAAAATATAAATGAATTAAACACAAATAAAACGATAAATCTAAAGTAAATAATAATAATGTTGAGTAATATGCAATTAGTCGGTAGATAAAAATCTTCATTCAAAAGAAGACTAATGTTTCGCGGTGCGAAGGTGAGTTCTGATTTTCTGCCCGGGCTTTTTTCGGGAGCACGATGTATAACCTGGTTGCAGTCAATATAGCTTAAAGAAGCTGAGTTTCAGCTCGCCTGCGCAACAAGTACTCCGGGAGTCAAAATCGTTATAGCTCGTTTCGCTGTGGCTTCTCACCCTCGACTATCATCGCGGCGCTTTACCCCTTAAATCTGAAATCACAGCCGTGAATGAATTTCGCAGCCTTCGCGAAAGAAGAAACCTCCTATACCGTAATTATGCAAATAAACAACAAGTCCTCAACTCCTCTGATATGATTGCACGTACTCGATTTATCGCACGTACTCGATTTATCGCACGAATAACAAATACAGTATATTTTGCACATTGTTGTTTTCCACGCAACCCCTCGCTTTCCTGGAGACTGACAAAAACCGGCTGAACGTGAGATTAAATAGCCGTCGATTCAATTCGCGCCGTTTATTACTTTTCGTCCGTCTTTTCAGTCACGGTAAGATTAGGGTGGAAATCCCTTTTGGAAGAGAAACGACTAAAATGGGAAAAGTTCCCGAACATTTTATCGCGTCGCGAGCTTCCGTCGCTGTCTGTCCGCCTCATTGGACTTTTTTACTCCAAAGTTCGCAAACTCGGAACTCGCTCCCTTCAGCACTTAGCCGCTGGAAAGTTCATTAATGTAATTAAGGAGCCACGAGGATGAAACGAACATAAGTGCAAGTCTGATCTAACTCCGTGTTTCAATGGAACTTAAATTATCTGAATTATACTGAAAGGATTTCTCAATAAATGAATATATCACCGTTACTTTTTACGTACCTTAACTTCATTGTTATTTTTGCGTCGGCAACTTTTGCCTCAACAATATCGGGTAAACGTAAGTAAAATTATTCAACTTTACGCATCCGCTCCAGTTTGAAATATTTAAACACATTTATAACCTTATATATATATATATGTCGCAATTTGACATTTAATTAGTATTGTAAGATATAACAAAAATAAATGTACGTAATTCGCGAAGCTGACATTAATCAATATCCAATTGTGGGCGAATGGAATGTCTGAGAAATCTAACTGGTGAAACGTAACGTGGCGGATAATCTGACGCGCGATTGGATTTCTCTTTTAGCTCTTCCGACGGCGCAATTTACTTAGATCAACAGGAAGCTATTATTTTCCGAATGGCGATTCTATATGTGCCCGTTCGCCTCAGCCACAATTCCTTTCGCAATTTCTCCTCTGGCCGGCTCGGATACGTGGGCGAAAAAATATTAAGTTAATCTCCCCTATGTAGCCGTGCGAGGCTAGCCTTTGACATTTCATTTCATATGATGCAGTGCTTACCCAGACCTCGAGGAACTCGCGTAATGGGCGTCGCGTTTATTTCCGGAACGTTTACGTCGAGCGCTGCAATATTTTGATCGCGCACCCGCTGCTTTTCCGACGCGCATTGAATAAAATGTATCTCGCGGAAAATCATCTCTCGTCGCACGTTTCCTAAAATGCAGTCGGGATGCAATGTGGAGAAGAGGCGGAAAAAGTTCTCTGCGACTTTCAAACGAGGCAAGGACTCCGTTAAATCATCAATAGAAAAGGTTTTCAGATATTCTGAGAAAGTTAGACATCTTTTCCATTTTCATTCATCTACCGCCTGATCCCGATTAATATCGAAGAAATCCAATCGTTCCCCGTTCACTTCAAATGCTTCTTTGTGACCTATTTGCATTCTAATTGGAAAGTTAACTAAATAAAATATTTTTCTTCGCGTTTATTTTTTTATATTTAAAATAGAATAGAAATAAAGAAATATATTTATCAGTTTGATTTCGAAAATCTGAGAGAACTAATTGCTACATTTATGTGCGATTCGTCTAATCGGTTTATCATCTAATCATTTGTTTGTTTATCATCACATTTGACGTGCCCTAATCCCTAATACCTTTGAGAAATAACGAGTAATTTCATGATCAGTCATCAATTACCGAACGTTTCACAAAATTCGTGCGAGGGCTCTCCGACAGATAACTACGTCACTGACACGAGGGGTGCAGTTTCCCGGACGTACGTTCGTCCGTAGGATGGTTTTCAGGGGAAAATTCAGCAGCAGGGTGGTGCGACAGGAGGGGGTGGACGGATCTGGAGAGGAATCCTGCGCGAAGGTGGAGTCCCCGAATGTCCCGAAAAAGAAGCGGAAGAATCGCGATAAGCGTGACGGAGAGCGAAAAAAAAGGGCGACAGAGACGGAGATAGAGATATGTGATCGAGAGTGGCGTAGGAAAAGGAGTGTAAGGAGAGAGAGGAGGAGGAGAGGAAAGAGGAGAAGAATGAGGAAGGGAGGAGGTGGAGGAGAGGGAAGAGAGGGTGGGGAGGAGAGAGAGAGAGGAAATGGGCCGAATGAGAGCATGAACGGGGCGAGAGAGAGCGAAGTCCCAAGAGCAACCCCGTTTCACGAAAGGAACAGGGACCCCGGCGGCGTGATGGCAGGATCGACGACGGGGGCGGCGGAGAGGGAAGGTGTCGCGGGGGTGGGTTTTGTACGGCCAAGGCAGTGGAGCCGCGGACAGTCGCCTCGACGCTACCATCTCTCTCAGTTGCTCCACGGTTTCCGGACACGGCGGACAGACAGGCAGGTTAGTGAATCCAATTCTCGTTCATTCACCAGCCAGCGCGTCGTCCCTCCGTCGCGCCCGTCCCTTCCGATCTCTATTTCCGTACACCTTTCCTTCTCCTGTACACCCCTCTCTCTCTCTCTCTCTCTCTCTCTCTCTCTCTCTCTCTCTTCCCTCCACACGTCGCTACGTTACTACGTCGTTCGTTACTCGTTCGTTCCGTTTCCGTACCGGCCGACCGTCCGTTACCGTTTACCGACGGTTCGTTTCGGAAATTGCGTCCGTAGGTTACGTTAAACTAAGGTACGTTACCGGACAACGGTAAGGTAGAGGTAGTAGTAATCGGTAATTCGTTTAAGGACTACTTTATTTCCTCGGTTAGACCGGTAGTAGTAGAGTAGTAGTAGAGTAGAGAGAGAGAGAGAGAGAAGAGAGAGAGAGAGAGAGAGAGAGAGAGAGAGAGAGAGAGAGAGAGAGAGAGAGGGAAATCGCGGAGAGAGAAGCATCGCGAGGCCTCTAAACGTCGCCGTCCGAACGTCATAACTGACGGGTGTTTCGCGCCGCGCTCCTCGTCGATTGATGAGAATTAGGCATACGCGCTCTCAGCGATGCACAACCTGTTATGCCAATGTTGCAGAAGAGGCGATACCGACATATAGGCAAGGGCATTGAGATTCTAAACCGACGAGGAGGAATGCAATTGTGTCTAATGAGATTGCCGGAATTAGAGCGGGAGAATTAGAACGGAGGTATAGTTCGCGAGACGTGAAATGTCATACGAGAGAATAAGTGACAAATGATTTTTCGGTAGACGAACGTGTCGATTATGGGCTGATAGTGACGTGATTTTTTTTTTAAGAAAATTAAAAATTTACCAACGTACTGAATTTTTTGGGTAGCTTCTGAGCGATAATTACTTTGCGATTACGATCCTTGCAATTATGACGAGATCCTCTCGTGACAAAGATAATCTTGGGAAAAAAAAATTTAAATAAGCACTTTGAGAAATTATTAAGTTTATTTGAAACGTATATATTTTATTAAATTTACAAAAAGTATTTAGATAAAAAAAATTTATGTTTATAAAATAGGAAAATATGTAACAAAGTTAGAGACAGAACTCGCGGATTTAAATAAAAAGTAGTGACGTAAATTATAAATCGGGAAAGTGCCGTCGCTACGCCTCAAAATTCACGAACGAAAATTTGGAGGCGCCGAAAAATTTCATCGCGTCTACATCACGCGCGTGCTAACGAGTCGTCCTAGATTTGCTAAAGTTTAAGATTCGTTTTCCCACTCGTTCAGATAATACCAAGCGTAACCTTGAACGAAAATAGAACATTTTATGATTAGCGCTGCGGGAGTTACTACGTTCATATATGAATGGTCATAAAACCCTTATTGTCCCATTCGAGGCGATCGAAAGTAGGTCAGTTTCCAAAATTGGAAGCCGTCGATCGGTGAAAAAATGTCGACGCGAATTTTAACATATGGCCACCTCACGCACACAGGCGACGAAATTCTGTTATATGTTACTCCATGTTGTTCGCGCATTCCACATCGCCGTTCCCACATTTCGAAAAAAATATGTCGACTCGTTGTTGCTGACTTTTATCTTCGATCCTGCGGAGAGAGAAATTGCGAAAACGCTACGAATGTACGACTCGCGTTAGATCCAATTAGGCTCCAGCACGCACGAGGATGGGTTTTACATCCTAATTACGTGCTTCGTTGTCAGCCATTAATCACGGTTTAACTTCGCTGAACTATATTGGTACGCCGTCGATGTAATGAATAAACACGCAGGCAAATGCGATAATATCCCCGATAGCACGTTAGCCTGATGTAACTGACAACATTTGCAAAATGTCAGTCGCGCACGAGTGACGCATTCTGCGTAACTCTGCTTTTGCGAGCTATCCAATCGCATTTTGATTAACCATACAAAATTGTATTACAAATATCAATAATCAACAACATAGCGAAAGGTAATTCGAACGAACACAATTGTGATTTAATAGAAATTTGTTTGGCAGAAATTGTCAGAATAATATATCACGCTGTTCTTACAATCAGTATTGAAAATTTAATTGTTACATTTCTTTTTATTTTATAATTTTATTTTATAATCAATAACTTTGCAATTTTATTATTTTTCAGTACGCATTTAATTTTTTACGCGGGATAAAAAGCAATTATTTAATAAATTATAAAATATATATAAAGAAAGATATATAAAATTTCTGCCGAGCGTCGAATGAGGGAAATAAAATTCCGAATAAAAGCAGAACGTGGAATTAAACTATTTGTAATGAAAAAAATAACAAATGGTCGTATAATATACATCGTGCAGTGTTGCGTATGTATTTGCAAGCAACAAATCCGGGTTGTACCTGTCGGATTCGAATCTCACTTGTTGCAACCTTTCTATTTCAACACGCTGGCGTGAAAAGGGCTTTCGAGAAAGATCGTGTCATTTTTCGTCCTCTTTCCGCCTAACAAATCGGCTTAACGTTTTTCACTTTTTCCCCGTCGAGGTTCGAATGATTTATGAACCTCACCGTAATGTGAGAAACGTAATTCCTACAGAACAATGATCGAATATGATGTATTTAATAGAAATCAATGATCTGCAAGAAAAGATTTCTCGATTCTTAAAAATTGGACTGCTTACATGATTTTTATTTTTCATCTTAAAGTTTTATCAATAATAAGAACCGTCGAATAATTTTTTGCCAGTTTTTGTTGTAAAATTTATCCTATTTGTCAAACGTAAATGAATCAATATTATCAAAAGGTCATTAAGGTGCGATTAAAAAGTACCCGCGCAAAAGATTGTTTTATTTAAAATCAATGACAATATTCTAAAATTTATACGTTATTAATATGCATAATATAAAAAGTGCATCATTGATTTTCTATAACTAAAATATTTATTATACATATGTTACTATAACTATTAGATTAT